CGTGCTCACCATCACGGCCCTGTTTGAGCCCCTCCATGCAGCTGCTGGTCGCTCCATCTCCAGCAGGGCCTTCCTCTCCCTGCACCTCAGGCGCAGGTGGTTCACACAGCTCGAGAACGAGGTGTCCTCCGCCACGCCGCACTCGGGAAGCCTCGTGCCAAGGGCACGATGGCACGGGACGGGTGTTTGCATTCGGCCTCCGGGAGTATAAAATTGAGTGCCTGCTCACAGCAGGTTCCGACAGAGCAGGCTTATTCTGGTCTGGCTGTGAGCTGCTCCAGGACACAGAGCATCAGCCACTGTCCCTGGTTTCATGTTCGGAGCCCAGCGCACTCAGCCCGAGGGCAGGACAGCTGGCCCAGTGGTGAAGAACACAGCTCTGGAGTTGACTGTGACCCCGTGTGCCCTGGGTAAGATGGGAAGAGCGGTGCCTCCACTTGTTCTCAGACCCTCCGCTCTGGAGCCCTGGCTGGCCCTGCCCTGGGCCCCTGTAAGCACCTGTGCACTTGCCTGGCCACCATCCCACCACTTCCCCCGATGCACCTGAGAGAGGGAAGCGGGCGAAGGTGCTGCAGGGATTTGTTGTGATTGTCAACACAGGGATGCTGCCGTGGGGATGCGTCAGTTTTGCCACCCTGCTGGATGTCGGATACGCCGTCTCAGAAGCAGGAGGAAAGCGGGGCAGGGGTCTCATTACCATGGAGAAGGAAGAGCCGGGAGTGGAACGAGTCCTGTGGATACTGAGATCCCTGGGCATCGAAATGTCTCCATCCAGAAGACGATGGACCATGGGGGCTAGAGGAGCGGCAGCCCCGGAGCCAGAGGGTGAGGCGGAGCAGTGGGCTGCCCAGACCACCGAGGGAGTCAAGATGATGCCTTTGGCCAGGAGGCTGGCTCACAGAGTGGGATGCCTCCAGGCCCTTAACTGGGGACCTAGCTTTCCTGGTGCACGCAGCTGGACCTGAGCTGAGGTTTATGGGCAGGCGGCATATTTGTTACGCTGTCTGAGCAGGACAGAGGCCAGGGGGTCTCATGGCTGAGATGTCAAGGACCAGAGAGAGGCCTGCGGTGGGCAGACCTGGGCAGAGACTGCCCTGACCAAAGTACTGTGTCCTGAGCGTGTCTGATGGAACTTACAACTCAGGTCCTGTTACCATGTGGCCGGTAAGCGCCATGGCTATGGCAATGAATGTTCTAGCCCAGCAGGGCAGAGAGAGCGTACTGGGAGAGGGCCTGCAGGCCTCAGAGGTGGCGGTGGTCGGAGGGTGTGGAGGCAGGTCCAACACTGACTCCCAGGAATCAGCCGGGGGCTGATGTGCTTGACCCTCCTTCCTTGGGTACACTCAGGGCCCCGCTGCCCGCTGTCTGGGCCTTTCCTGATAGTCTGATCCCCAGTCCTGGCCTGCTGTACCCCCAACCCCACTGTGTGGAGAGGTGCCCTCCAGTCCATCCCCAATCCTAGCGACCCCATGCACAAGACAAGGACATGCTGCCCCCAAACCTGCCCGGCCCTGCACCGCCCTCCGTTGTTGGCATGTGTGAGCCTATCGCAGCAGCCACAGGGTCCACCTGTCCCCGAGAGGAGCTGCCTCGTCTTTCGTGGACCCTCTACTTTAGGCAGTGTGACACCCTTCCCCAGGGGCAGCTCCCTCCTGAGGACCGAGTGGTGATGTTCTCGGCACAGCTCGTCCGTCACCGACTCAGCCGCTATGCCACCGGTATTTCAAAGCCCAGTGGGGTCATCTGTGGTGGGCAGCTTTCTGCGGAGCCTCCAGACCAGATCAGCCTGGTGACTTCTAAAAAGGGGCAGTGAAAACCTTATGGCTTCCCCCACCCTCCTCACCCTGTCCCCAGGTCCTCCCATGGATGCTATTGCATGGGCATGGGTGGAGGGGTGGAGGGGGGCCACACAGTACTGCCCCCCTCCTTCTCTGTTTGCCTTATCTGTATTTTCATATGGGTTCCTGCCCCACCCCGACAGCCCTCCCTTACAGTCCAGTTCCTTGGGGTGGGTTCCCTTAAGAGTCCCACCCTCAGCTCTGAGGATACCAGCTCCTCCTCCCTTTGCTGCACCAAACCCAGGGGTGGCACTGTGTCCTGCTGCCACAGACCTCCATTCAGCTCGTCCAGCCACCGGCCATGGCTAGGGAGGGGTCCAGCTCCCGCCCCCTCCAGCCACCTGCTCCACTGAGTTTCCTGACTGAACCCTGACTCACAGTGAGATGAGCTGCCAATTCTGGAATGGTGGCTGTGGCTAGGGGCACTTGAAGGTGAGTCCAGCTCCCGGCCACCCCAGTGAGTAGACTAGACCCAATCCCTGAGGGTTCCCAAGCAACCATCTTTATAGGTCTTGCCTATGGAGTGGCTTGGTGGGTTCAAAGGTCATTCTCCAGGTGTACAGCCCAGCACTTCCCCACTGTGCCACCAGGGCTCCTCCAGGCTATTCTGGACCAAGAGCGTGTCCAGATCCACCAAGACTGTATAAGGTGCCTTGGTGGCGCTTCGGGTCTGGCGCTGGCTGCTTGGGAACCACAAAGTCCAAGCCCACTAGCAGCTCCCCAGGGGAAGATGAGGCCTGGGAAATCATTTGGAGTAGCTCTACCCTGTCCTCTGAGTGCCTGTGAGGAGGTGGGGATAGTGACCATTTACCTTCTCCCCTGGTTGATTAGGATTTAAGAGTAAGAATACCCCTAATAAAATGATTTTTTTTAAAGGGTAAGAATAGTACAAACTGTAGGCTATCGTGCCAGATGCCCTGCTCAGGAACCATCCGCCTCAGACAGTGATTCAAGGAGATTCAAGGAAAAGGTGATCGGTGTTCACCATCTCCCAAGGGGGCCACCCACACCATCCCTTCATGGATGCCATCCATCAGACTTCTGTCATCCCCGAGTTTCTTTGTAAGCTAGTTGTGTTTTTATTTAAAATTTAACATTCATTGCATGGGAATAGTTCATAATATAGGATAAGATTTATTTTCCATTTCTTTTACTTAATATATGACTAAGTTCTCTGACTGTAGGCACCCTGGTGGCATAGTGGGTTACATTTCAAGGTCAGTAGTTTAAAACAACTGGCCACTACTCAGGAGAAAGATAAGGCTTTTTATTCCTGTAAAGCTTTCTTCTCTGAAACCCACAGGGGCAGGGGCAGGGGCAGGGGCAGGTCTACCCTGTCCTATAGGGTCAGGTGTCAGTTGGAATCGACTCGATGGCAGCAAGAGGTTTTCTGATTCATACAAAAGTCTTCGATACAGATTTATTCATCTTTTTATGTTTAGGCTTTTATTTTGTTCTTGAGACTATATACACAGCAAAACACACCAATTCAACCGTTTCTCCACGTGGAACGCAGCAACACTGATGAGATTCTCCGTTTGTAATGCATTCTCTCCGCCTCTTCGGGGCTGTTCCTCCCTCCCTCGTTAACCTGCATTCACTACCCTCCAAGGCCCCCTCTGAAGCTGCTGCTGTCAGTTCCATTCGGCCTGGTTCTTCAAAGAGCTTAGTGCCCAACCCAGACTTTTTATCTTAGTGAAGTTTAGCTACTGGTCCATTTTAAGAAGCCTTCGGGGGCTATTTCCGGTTTAATATTTCTAAGTTATCTCAGGGCAATCGTTTCATGGATTCACCCAGCCTCTAGAAAGTCTGGAGTCCATGGTCATTTTTAAATCTGTTCCACATCCCTGCCCGCCCTGGGATCAGATTTGTCTGTAGACGCTCTCATCAAAATTTCAGTGATGTTCACTGATGGGAGCCAAGCACCATCCAGCTCTTCTTGTTTCACTTCTCTTCCCATTGACTCTCCTCCCTTTGTGGCGGCACAGAAACACGGATAAATACGTTGTTGTGCCTTGTATCTCTGCTTGCTCCCCAACCTAGGCAGCCTGCAATGACCTAGGCGGTAGAACAGAGGCTCTGAACACATGATGAAGCCAATGACCTAGATAGGCCTATGACGCCATGGCCAACCCAAGGAACCACATCCCATGAGATTTTTAGTTGAACATCAGCAGCCTGGGCAGTGATGTTTCTTTCCTTTTTTTTTTTTTTTTCTTGTTGTATATTCCATAGGATTGTCATTGGCTGATTTTCAGAAGTAGATCACCAGGCCTTTCTTCCTTGTCCACCTTAGTCTGGAAGCGCTACTGAAACCTGTTGCAATATGAACTCCCCCCCACACACACACACTGGCAAGGCAGGTGGTAGCTGTGCATAGGGTGCATTGACTGGGAACTGCACCCTGAGAAGCAAGTCTCCCGCATGGAAGCTAAGGGTCTCCTCCTGAGCCAACAATGTCCTCCAGGCCAGTAGACATCTGGGGTTACTCGATGGTGTCCTGTGACGTGGTAGGAAGGACTGTCGAGACAGATCAGCAGGCACTTGGTGGAGATCAGGGAGAGGATGTTCCCAGTGCCGTGGACGACCCCAGGTGCCCCTGAGATTCAGGCATGGGTGCAGAACCAGGGGAAATGAGGAAAGTCAAGGCCCTTTGCTGGCATGTTGACTAAATGGGACTGTCTGCTCCTGTAAAGGTTTACAGTCTTGCAAACTCTAAGAAGTGGTTCTGCAATGTCCTAGAGGCTTGATACCAGTAGGAGCCAATTTTGACTCATAGCAATCCCACAGGACAGAATAGACCTGCCCCCTGATGGATGGCACAGTAGTTAGAGGGCTCCGATGCAACTGCAGGTGGACAGTTCAAACCCAGCCAGCTGTCCGTGTCTGTGAAGATGACAGGCTAGGAACACCACAGAGCGGTTCTGCTGTCCCCTACAGGGTCGCCCTTCACATGCATGAACCCATTTCAACCCTAACAGCAGCAAGACCGGCATTCTTTTGTGGAGAAGAAATCAAGAGCCCAGACTTGGGAGGGGGGGTGTCCCCTGAAAAACGAAGTTAGCTAAATAAGCTAGTCCTCTGGGCTCCTACCACTCCAGCCCTTGCCACTCTTTCCTGATGTGGCAGTTGGGGCCGGGAGGGAGGAGTAGAATTGCCCCCATGGAGATTCGGACGTTGTCCATCTTCAGGGGTGCGGGTGGTGGGTGAGAAACGCCTGCTTCGGGGTTAGCGGACGGGCGCTGAGTCCGCTGCGCCACCAGGGCTCATCCAATAGGTGGAATCGGGTGTTACGGCTCCTGGACAGAGGCTTTGTCGCCGGCCGGAGCCCACGGTGACAAAGCCCTTTGACGCCCGCTATGGCAACCCCCTG